CATCATCTCAGGATGTCTCTTTCTGGCCGCCGATATCTTCGCCATCGCCAGCATCGCCAACCCGGACTGGATCAACACCGGGGAGTCGGCGGGTGAGCGCGGCGCGCGGGCCGGGCGGGGGATTCGCTGAGGGCGAGGAGAGGGAGGGGAGACCTGGCTGGGAGAAAACCGGGCTGGAGGGTGCGAGGCGGGGGCCGGCCTGAGGAGAGAGGGGGCGGAGGGTGACCCGGGCCGCGGGGCGGGGCGGCCGAGGGGACGGAGAGGAGGACGCGCTGGTCGCCAGCGGGACCCCCAGGCTGAGAGAAGAGGGGCGAGGAGACCCGGCCTGGGCTGGCGGGTCCCGGACTTTAGGAAGGGGGTGAGGGGAGACAGCCACTCGACCTGAGGAACAGCGGAGGAACGAGCTTCGTCCTGGCTTTAAAAAAAAGTGAAGGTGGGAGACGGGAGGAAAGCGATTTGGAAGAAACTGAGGCGCCTGTGAAGGAATTAGAAACCAGGCGGGGAGGCTGGGGCGGGGAGGGAGGCAGCCTGTAGGGCAGTGCGCGAGCCTCGAGAGAGCTGATGGGCTAGGGGACACCCGGAGGAGTCAGGTCCCACCCCCGCCGCCGAGGAAGCTGCGGCCGGACGAGAGGTGGCCCGACGAGGCAGGGTTGATGGTGCTGGGGGAGCTGGGGGTGGTGGCTGGAGCTGGGGGGCGCCGGATGGGAGCCCCCCTACCCGCGCCTTCGCCCATGCCCTGCCCACTTGGCAGTGTTTGAGACGCATGTGGCTTCCGATTTTCCCTTTGAAGTCTCTGTGGTTGTAATTTTGCTTTATTTTAGGCCCGGGAGCTATAATACTACTACTAATAAACTTCATTTTATGGAGCATCTTTCATTCCAGCGCATCACGAAACGTTTTAGAGATCTTAATAGTAGTTACAAAATTAAATAACACATTAGAGTTGCAGGCGGCCCAGCAGCAGTAGCAGTGCTTGCTGTGAGACCACGGAGCTGTAGGCAGCAGAGACAAGGTGGTGCCCTCTGGAAGAGGTAGGCATCTGTCTGAAGGGTATCCCAGGTGAATGCCCTTGCAGGATTTTTCTCAGCTGGGGCCACCATCACCACACACACAGACACACACTCACTCACTCGCTCACACATCCAGACCTGTGAGACCAAACCTTTAATTAATGTAACAGCTGTCAGAAGAGCTGATGGGAATTAAGGAATGAGCTTGTTTTCTAACGGCTTGTTCAGTGCAGGTGAAGGAATATTGGGGGTTGGGAATGTCAGGCTCCCTCCATGAATAATTTGTTACAAAATGTATCACTGTGCTGTCAAACTTCTTAAGTATTACTTATGGTTCTGTATTTATCCTGCAATATTTTTAGCTCTTAAAGCTGTAGCTGGGACATTTGTTGCTTCCTCCTCCCTCCCTCTCTCCCATCTAGACCTAGTAACACAAAATCATGCTGTCAGATTTGCTGGTTATTAAAATAACACTCTAAAAAATTCTGCTCCTTTTCTTGCCTGTACAGTTGTAGCACAGCTCTTAATTGTAAAGCATATATGATTATTATGTGATGCGGTAGAGGTGTTAGCTAATCGTAACATGGTAATCATATTGCAATATATAAATGTATCAAATCAACACGTACTCTTTAAACATATACAATGTTATATGTCAGTTACATCTCAATTTTATTAAAATTGTAAAATGAAGATATCAGAGTGGTTTAGAATTTGGTGAAACTATGGGCTTTGTTTCTGAAAATGTTGGTGATGTCAGCGTCAACTATTAATTTGTACAGTTGTATGTGTAACATCCGGTTTGTGATCTGTTGTGGTTTTTATCCTAATTATACGTGCAGTGACTCCTTTTACGAGACTTTCTTAGGGGCAAAGAGATTTCACTGTTCTAGCAGAAACCATCCTTTTTGCAAAGAAGTTTCAGGTGGAATCCCAATGTATAAAACAGACAAAATGCTCATGGAAAAGATACTGTTACTTGTACAGAAGAAAGAGGCAAGTAATAGCATAACATTCCTGAGAAGATGGAAAAGGACAGCATTCAAAGCATTGGAAAAGGGATAGCTCCTCTATTATATTAGAAAGAAAGCAAGGATAGGATGAGTACAACTCCTTCAGATTAGTAGGCAAAGTCTTCGGCTGTGAGTTGCCGCAGAGATGGGAGGGATAGAAGTCCAGGGTTTGAAGACAGTAGAAAATGTTTGAAATAAGTAGTTGCAGAGAGAGCATGCCAACCGGCGACATAGTAGGATTGTCTAGCAGCGTGGAAGCCTCATTGAAGTCAGTGGTCATGAACATATAGTGTGATAACCCATCTGCCTTGCTGACTTTCTCTTATAGTGCTCTGCTACTTTGGCACCAGTGTGTGGTGAAAGGCAATAGAAGGCTTCATTCAGGGTTGGTGTTTGCCACCTACATGCAACAAAGTGACAGAGGAGCAAAGGTGATTAGGGTATTGGTCAAAGTATCATTGTAATGATGGCTCATGGAATCTCAGCTGGATAAAGAGTAAAAGTGAATAAAGGAAAGAGCTGATGGATTGGTCAGTGAATAGCAGATGGTATATGGTCAGTGGAATAGTGGACCCAATAGAATTGAAGACCTGACTGGGAGTTATTGATCCAGCAAAGCAGAAGGGCAGGGGATTGTGGGCACAAGGTCCAGAGTGTGACAGTGGGGATATGTGGCTGAAGTGGGGTGGAGGAGGTGATTTTTTTCCTAACAGTTTCCCTTGCCATCTCAGGATACCCTTCAGTTAAATATTCTGTAGCTAGAAAGAAGAATAATAGGAGATAGTAGAACAGTAGGAAATTTTTCAAAATCATATCTAACCTATATTTCTTACCTTAAATATGTCAGACAGTAGCCCCCCAAAACTTAAAATGAATGGGATCCTATGTTCCTTTGTTCACTCTTGTGCTCTTGCACGGTGATAAGATGCACCTGAACTTTGCCTGGTGTTGGATTGAGCTTATATGTCCACTGTACACTGTGACCTGAGCAGACAGATCCAGTCTTGAGTTTAAAAAAAAAATCAGTGCAGAGTTACACCTTCCAAATCAAAGAAACATTTATAGGAAGTTCAAATAAGATCTCAGAGGTGACAGGACTAGCCTTACTCTAAGATCTGCACAAAAGTGACATAACCTGGCAGCAAAAAGTTAATGCTTTGGTTCCCTTCAGTGCGTTATATACAGTGTATGAAAGTTTGCGATATTTTTACTGCAGGTTTCTAAATGGACAAAATATATTTTGAAAGTAGAATTCTTGGAGCCAAAAAGTTCTGCAGAATGTAGTTTGAAAACCACTGCAGTGAACTAGTAAGGAAAAGTTTCAGGATTCAAATCCAAACTTCATCACTTACAAGCTCTGTGAGTTTGGGCAAGTTACTTAGCCGCTCTTTACAGTTCCTCCTCTGTAAAATAGGGATAATAATAGTACCCATCTCGCTGGGTTATTGTGATGATTAATTGAGTTAATCTGCATAAAACATTTAGAACAGTGCCTGACACATAATAAGTGCTCAATAAAAGATATTGTTGTATTGCTGTTCTAGTTTATAATAACAGATGTCAGAATCCCAGTTTTGAAATTAAAGCTCAGAACTTGTTACTGTGAGAACTGACATGGTTTCTTTATTAGATGTTTTTGGAAACAAGGAAACATCAAGAATAATATGGCCAGGCTTAGCACAAGTCAAATAAATTTGTCTTCCCTCCTGGCTTTGGACGTTCTCCATCACTCCCATACTGTTCTTCCTCTTTTAGTCCCTCATCTCCATATTCTGGTCTCTGCTCCTCAGATTCTACTTGAACTACCACAAAAGGAAATGATATATCCAAAAACAAAAAGCTGAATAGAATAACTTCCTAAAATCCTAACTAATAAACTGTATTACTGTAAGATTATGGATCGTACTTCATAGTGGCAGAATTTTTAGTTTGTTTTTATTATATTGGTCCAGATACAACATGGAGAAATTACATTCCTTTTACTTTCATCTGTGTGTGGTAACATTTCCTGAGCTTGTTCTAATAGCTTGTGGATTATACACAGACTTTTGAAGATATAATGAAACAGAAATAGATATTTTATGTATGGGGAAAGTACATGGTCGGGGGGCACTTTAGTAAGGACCCTTAGCAGTTTCTATTAATGTAATCAAAAATATCAAATGGTAGGGGCTGGCCCCGTGTCGTAGTGGTTAAGTTCGCGCGCTCTGCTTCGGAGGCCCAGGGTTCGCAGGTGCGGATCCTGGGCGTGGACCAACGCACCGCTTATCAAGCCATGCTGTGGCAGGCGTCCTGCATATAAAGGGGAGGAAGATGGGTACGGATGTTAGCCCAGGGCCAATCTTCCTCAGCAAAAAGAGGAGGACTGGCATCAGATGTTAGCTCAGGGCTAATCTTCCTCACACACACACACAAATATATATATATTAAATGCTAGGTAAATATAATGGCAAAATTACGTAATTGTGCTATGCTGGGGTCAAATTTCTGCTGGTTACTGGAACTGAACATCAGTATCAATATCTTTTACTTTATATAGTGCTTTATAGTTTTTGAAGCACTTTCACATCCATGACTTGATTTGATTCCTTAGGCTTTTTGTATTTAGCTAGTGTAAAATAGTCATTTCCACATTTTTTCCCATGTCAGTGCTTTGCACAAGAGATCTGAATTGCAGTTTGCAAAGACTCCTTCAGGAAAACTCTTCATGGGAGTATTACCTATTTCTTATTTATGCACATCTTTTATTTATTTAAATGAGATTAAAATTCTTCAGTGGCTGAAATTTTTGCCAGACTACAGAAGAGGGAAAGAGGGAGATTTGGGTTTCAGGTTTAAGGTGATATTCTTTGCTTTGTATAAGTCCCTTAACCTCACTACCACTGATTTCTCATCTCTACAGAGACAAACTATTTGTGAAAAAAATTTTTTTTAGTTTTATTGAGTTAACTTCAATGAGATCAGCAATTAAGCAAAGCTGCTTCTGATAAATATAAATCATCTAGCGATCCCTTTAATTGAGGCATCATCCTTTTACAGCAGGATTTCAGTTACCAAAGTTATACCATC